GCAAGGCACTCCGAGGAACCGTGGATGTGGCATGCCCGGTTCGGACATCTCAGCTTCGACGCGCTTGGTCGGCTGGGGAAGATGGTCCGAGGGCTACCCCACATCAAACATGGAGGCGAGCTGTGTGACAGCTGCCTGGCCGGGAAGCAGAGAAGGCTACCTTTCCCAAAGGCGGCCAAGTATCGCGCGAAGGAAGCTCTCGAGCTAGTTCACGGCGACCTCTGCGGGCCGATCACGCCTGCTACATGCGGTGGTCGGCGGTACTTCCTCCTGCTCGTGGACAATTACAGTCGCTACATGTGGCTGCAACTCCTGACGAGCAAGGATGAAGCGGCGGTGGCGATCAAGAAGTTCAAGACACGCACGGAGGCCGAGAGCGGCAAGAAGCTCCGTGTACTGAGGACTGATCGGGGTGGCGAATTCACTTCGGTGGAGTTTGCTACGTACTGCGCGGATCAAGGTGTGGGGCAACATCACGCCGTGCCGTACTCGCCACAACAGAATGGCGTGGTGGAGCGACGGAATGACAGTGGTCGACATGGCCCAATCCATGATGAAGGCCAAAGGGATGCCGGCAAAGTTCTGGGGAGAGGCGGTGACCACGGCGGTGTTCATCCTCAACCGCGCTCCAACCAAAGCCCTAACGGGCAAGACGCCGTTCGAAGCTTGGTACGGGAGCAAGCCGAACGTGTCATTCCTCCGGACATTCGGTTGCATCGGCCACGTCAGGAAGACAAAGTCAAACCTCACCAAGCTGGAGGACAGGAGCACACCCATGGTGTTCCTGGGCTACGCGGAGGGTACCAAGGCGTACCGGCTCTATGACCCATGCGGAGACAAGGTGACTGTCTCGCGCGACGTTGTGTTCAACGAGGAGGCAGCTTGGGACTGGCACAATCCGAGCACGGGGGAAGCGGGAGGCTTCACCAACACCTTCGTCATCGAGCACTTGGTCATCCACGGCGGTGGAGACGATGTGGAACAGGTGCCACACACTCTGGGAGGAGCGTCGAGCACTCCGGCGGTAGAGTCGAGCACTTCTGGAGGAATGCTGAGCATGCCAGGAGTGGAGCCAGGAGGTTCTGTAGTGGTGGCGACCACTTCAGGACGGGTGCTGAGTACTCCCGTGGCGGAGCCAAGACATCTTACTGTGGTTCCGACCACTCCAAGACTAAGGCTGGACACTCCTACAGTGTGGCCGAACACTGCAGGAGTTATGACGAAGCGATCCGTAAGCGATGCGAGCACTTGGTGCTATGCAGGGCACTCCGGCGGAAGAAGGAATTCCATCACCCCTGATCAAGTTCGCCTCACTTCCAAGTGACATCACTGAGTTCGTGGACGCCTACCACGAAGGTGAGGAGTTGAGGTTCCAGCAGTCGACGACATCGTCGGGCGCACACAGTCCCTTTAGGTTCTGGCGGGTAGGCTGCTCAACGACGCAGAGCTGCTACTCGTCGCTGCAGGGAACCACCATGTTCGCGCGCTTGAAGCGCGATGGAAATCGGCGACGGGCAATGCCGGAGGAGATGAAGGCGATCGAGGAAAACGAGACTTTGCGGCTCGTCGATCCACCCCGTGATGTCGTCCGATCAGCCTGAAGTGGGTGTACAAAGTCAAAAGGACGAGCTCGGCGCCATTGTCAAGTACAAGCGCGCGCTAAATCGCCGAGGCTTTGTCCAAATAAGCGAGGGCATCGACTTCGAGGAGGTCTTTGCACCAAAGAGCGCGATGGAGTCGGTCTGCTTTGCTACTTGCTTTGGCGGCGGCAAAGAAGGACCGCGTCCATCACTTGACGTTAAATCGGCCTTCCTCAACGGGCGAGCTGGCGAACGGTCTTCGTCAGGCAACCTCCGTGGTTCATTGTCAAGGGAGAGGAGCACAGGTGCTCGACACATGCAAAGCGCTTACTGGGCCGAGGCAAGCCTCGAGCATGGAACGCCAAGCTTGACACCACGCTGGGGCGAGCTTGGGTTTCAGAGGTGCGCAAACCGAGCACACGCTCTACACGCAACGATGGGGAAGGAAGAACTCGTGGCGGTGTGTATGTGGATGACTTAATTGTCACCGTCGCTGCAGCGCATGGAGGATATCAACACCTTCAAGCGAGAGATGGCAGCTCGTTTCAATGAGCGATCTCGGCGCTCTCTCCTACTACCTCGGCATCGAGGTGAGACAGGGAAGGAGGAACTCATGCTCGGGCAAAGCGCGATGCCTCCAAGCTGTTGGAGAGGAGCGGCATGGTGTAGTGCAAGCCATGCGTGACTCGATGGAGGGAGCGGCTAAAGTCGACGAAGGACAAGACACATGGCAAAAAAGTAGATGCAACACTCTACCGGAGCATCGTCGGTGGTCTGCGCTACCTAGTCCACACAAGGCCGGACATTGCGTTAAATCGCGGGCTCGCCAACGGTCGTTTCATGGAGGATCCCGAGAGAGATCATCGGGCTACGGTGAAGCGGCTACTACGCTTACGCCAAGGGGACGGTGAATCATGGAATCATCTTCCCAAAGACCAAGGGAAGTAGGTTGCAACTCCACGGTATTCAGCGATGCGACATATGGCGGGGACATCGACGGACGACGGAGCACCTCTGGCGTATTTGTCTTCCTCGGGTCGGCCCCAATTTCATGGTCGTCGTCAAACGAGAAGGTGGTGGCGCTATCTACGTGCGAGGCGTAGTATGTAGCGCGGCCACAAAGAAGCGCGCGTTGTTGTGTGGCTACACCGGCGCCAGGTGAGCTAATCATGTGGAAGCTCACCCACCAAAGACTAATGGTGGACAACCAGCCCGCCATCGCCCTCGCGAAGAATCCGGTTCTGCACGACCAGAGTAAACACATTGACGTGAAGTTCCACTTCCTCGTGGATCGTGTTGATGGAGGGCGATCGTCATCGAGTTTGTCGAAACTGGTCGGCAACTCATGGGACGTCCTCACCAAGCCGCTTTCGGACGACTTCGACTCATGGAGTGAAGGAGATGATCGGCATGGAAGGGGTGCAAGGGTTAGCGAGAGGATTAGGGAAAGATTATTAGCTAATCTATCGCCACCTTGTGTGAAACACAATGAGAGGAAAGCGGCGCCGACTTTGCCCCTCAGTATCTATCAGAGTCAGCCAGTGCAGTGCGCCAGCGGCTTACTCCAAAGATCAGAGGCACATGCAAGGGCTTGCAGAGTCAGCCCCTCAGATGCTTATCTAGTTATCATTACAGACAGATGTGCTGTACTTTAGTTAGATAGATAGAGTTGTATAAATAGGGCACCAAGGCAACTCAATAAAGAGAGCTCAGATTTGCCATCACACGTATGTGGGCCTCGGCCAACGTTGTTGTCTTGTATTGTGCGTGCTTGCTCTGTTCTCCCTTCTTCTTCTAGCTCGATCCGTAGTGTGTGGGTACGGACACAACCGGTATAGTGGTCTGGGAGACTAGTGGTCTGGAGACTAGTGGTCTGGTCTGGGAGACTAGTGTGGTCTGATCTGGGAGACTAGTGGTCTGGTCTGGGAGACTAGTGGTCTGAGACTAGTGGTCTGGAGACTAGTTCACTATCGTCAGACGGTGATCCCGTGGGCCAACACTGGTTACCTTTCTGTTTTGGGAAATTTTGCTCAGGAACACTGCACAAACGTATAACATGTTGGTGAACACTGTCAACGTCGAAATTTGCTGGCGGACATTACAAATTTCTGATTCTTTGTCTAGAGACACCGTACCGATTATTTTATACATTTTTTCAGTTTTGGAGAGAGAGAATGTGGGGGAATGTCTAAACTGCCCTCGTCTTCAACCTCTGGCGCCTCCTTCCCCGAGCCCTTCACCACGCCATCCCGAGTCTGACTGTGCGCCGCCGCCATCATGTCCAACGCCGCGCCGCGCCCTCATCCCCGGTGAGGCCGTGTGCCCCTGGCCAGGTCCCTGTCCCCCGGTCGCGCCCTCGTGCCCCTGTCCCCACCGTCCGCCATGGTCGCACCCCGTCCCCGGCGGCCGCGTACCCCCGACCATGTCCCCGTCCCTGGCCGCGCCCCCATCCCCCACAAGAAGAGAAGACCGGTCGCCGCCGGAGTCATGCTGTCCCTGCAGGAGAAGGCGGGCCTGGGTCTCCGACCGACGAGGACCGCGTCGAGCTTTTCTGAGCTCCGACGTTGGCCGCGGCGAGGCGGAAGGCGAGCGCACGACTGATGCCATCCGAAAGAGCCACGCCGCATGCACCTACGCCAGGACCGCCGGATCTGTAGGAGACGGACGAGGACGAGCTTGTCCGGGCACCGACGAGCCCGCCCTCGGCGAGGCCCCGCCCGCCCCCGGCACGACATCGGCAAGGCCAAGGATCAGAGGGAGCATGCCACGGGTGGGCGGCTTGCAAAAAAAATACACTACTACCTGACGACAGTCTTATTAGAAGTATGTGGCAATGACAAGGGGGGCACACATCATCAGACATTATATTCTGACCAGAGGGACACAGATACATGCTGTGGTCAACAGCGTTACACGGGACGCGAGAAGCGATGTACCATCCTGTGGTATGGATTGCCAAGCTGTAACTCTTGTTCTCTCATCTCCCTTCGGCAATTGAGTTGCCTCCAGTCCAGAGACGAGACGACTGATCATTCCTGGTGCAACGAGTGTGTATGGAAACTGTTACAGTGTGTATGGAAACTGTCAAGAAAATGGTGTTGACCCCAATGAGTTCGTCGTCCAAGCGCGACGCTTTAGCTGCGTTACTCTCAACGGATCTGGTGAATGTGGAGGTGCTTCCTGAAATCTAAGTTCAGGCATCTTCGCCGTCTGCTTCCTCGGGTCGCCGATAGTGTGGTTTCATAGTTAACTAATTGCAGCTTTTTTTCCTGTGGTAATCTCAGGATTACCACAGAGCCATGTACTTTGAAAACTCTGCTTCCTCCTAATGAAATACGTACCATGACCACAGGCAGAATTTCAAGCAACATAGTAGTAGTGATTACCATGTCTTGTAGAGCTAAGCGTGGCCTAATTGGATCAACTTTCAGCTTCTGTAATCTCACATTGAATCGCTGCTGCAGCCTCCTCACCAACTTCTTGAGCATCATCTTCAGCTCCAGCATTGGTTCTGCTCGAAGTCCCAATTGTAATTTCTGTCACCTCATCATCAGCTTCTTGAACATCATCTTGTTCAATGCCGTTGATGAAGAGGTCGATCGGGTTGCGATGCTCGGCAACTTGTTTGGTCACTGCCTCCACTGTCATCTTTACGCTGGGGCTGTTGAGGTAGTGTGCGTTGTAGCACAGGGCAATCTCTGTAAGCCTGTGGAGGTTGCTAATACCTGAAGGAACACAGATCTGCCTAGCTGGGGTCGAACAGAACTTTAGTTGGAGGTATGTGAGCTTCGGCATAGCTCCTGCCTCTAAAGTGAGCCATGGCATTGGGCCGTCGACCGAGAATCTATGAAGCTCACGGAATCCTTTGTTTTCAATCACTATGGCATGTTCAGGAATGAAGTCCAAACCTAGTATTAGGGCGTGTTTGGTTCCTGCATGACCTCCTAAAATTCCTGTCACATCAAATATTTGGACACATGCATAAAGTATTAAATATAGACTAATTACAAAACTAATTACACAACTTGCGACTAATTTGTCAGACGAATCTTTTAAGCCTAATTAGTCCATGATTTGACAACGTGATGCTACAGTAAACATATGCTAATGACGGATTAATTAGGCTTAAGAAATTCGTCTCGCAAATTAGCCTCCATCTATGTTATTGTTTTTGTAATTAATCTATATTTAATGCTCTTTATTTGTATCTAAATATTCGATGTGACATGAATTTTAGGAGCCACTAAAGAACCAAACACCCCTTAGGCACTGCAACTCGGGCAAGTCTCCGAGTTTATGCAGATCATACGTCACTTGATTGTTTCAGATGGTGATTTGCACGAAAGATAGATAAAACAAGAGCCCATTGATCCACTGTGGAACACATGCAAATCTTCGTGCTGTCACCTTGAACTTCTCAAGCCTCCTAAGCGCATCATACTCTTCAAGGAAGCCCCGGAACTCCATGGAGCAGCCGAGTCCACAGTGAATGGTCAGGGACTCGAGGTTTTTCCACCTGCCGATGGATGACAGGAACGCTTCACAGTAGTCTCTGTCAGTGGACAGGTGAAAGGACCATGTAACTGCGAGCACCCTCAACTCTCGTAGATCACCGAGAGCCCTGACGAACTGGGTGTTGGGTCAAATCAACAGTGGGTGTCTGTAGATTGATAAGATGCCGTACATCGTGCGGCATAGCTATTTCCACGGAATTAGGCCTGGTTTAGTTCAAAAATTTTTCACCTTCAACTATCGCATCGAATCTTACGACATATGCATGGAGTATTAAATATAGACGAAAAAAACTAATTGCACAGTTTAATTGGAAATCACGTGACGAATGTTTTAAGACTAATTAGTCCATGATTAGCCATAAGTGCTACAATAACTAACATGCGCTAATGATAGATTAATTAGGCTTAATAAATTCGTCATGCAGTTTTCAGGCGAGCTATGTAATTAGTTTTTTTTATTAGTATCCAAAAACCCCTCCAACATTTCGAAACATTCGATATGACATTCAAAAATTTTGATTTCGCGAACTAAACAGAGCCTTAATTGTTCCTTCACCACCAACGAGAAGAAGGAATTAATAGCTACAGTGGGTGTCTGTAGATTGATTAGATGCCGTACAGTGGGTGTCTGTAGGCCCGCAACTTGCTTTGGCAGCTGGCTTATCCGTGTCCCTCTTAGATCCAGGTGCCACAGATCTGTTAGCTCGAACAATTGGAGTGGGTGCTCACTTATCTGCGTGTAACTTACATCCAATGTCCTCAGAATCCGCAGCTCCTTGATCTCGCGCGGGAGCTTGTGGACTTGTGTATTCCTGATGCTTAAATAGGCCAAAAAGATCATTTTGCATAACTGCAGTAGGTCCTCATCCTTGAGATTCTCCCAGCCTTCGAGATCTAGCACCACCAAATTGATAAACTTTTCCAGAGGGACTAGAAAAACTGGTGCGGCGTTGCCGCACCCCAGCCTTTGTAGGCCAGGATTATTTCTTGTTCTTTACTTGTATGGCGACACAACTTCTTATATTATATTTGAGATACCAGTGCATGTTCACTGTTAGATATGATAAGTACTGCCGTTTGCACTCTCCTGTAAATATTGGAGACATGGTTTTCTAAATGGTTAGCTTTCTGAAGGCATTCCACATAGATTCATTGTTTGTATGGGATTATCAGTGGTTCTCTTTAACAATATGTGGTTGCCAAATAGAAGCTATTTAGTTTTTTTGTGCACAGATCGAATCATTAACAATCTGTCTTAACACGAAATTGTAGACAGTCTGTACCGAAATTCCAGCATAATCTATTGTATCGTTGTGTCGGGGACCAAATACTGGGTACCCAAAGAGGAGGAGCTAATAACCATCAAACGGTGATGCTCCCGAACAGACAAGAGCGCGACTACACCTCTTGCCTAACGACCAAGGACAGACTCCGCCTCGCCTGACGTCTGGGGGCAGACTCCGCCTCGCCCGGCATCTGGGGGCAGACTCCACTTCGCCCGACGTCTGGGAGCAGACTCTGCCTCGCCCGACGTCCGGGGGCTGGCTCCGCCTCGCCCGACGTCTGGGGGGGACTCCGCCTCGCCCGACGTCCGGGGGGCAGACTCTGCCTCCCCCGACGTCTGAGGGCAGACTTCGCCTCGCCCGACGTCCGGGGGCTGGCTCCGCCTCCCCCGACGTCTGAGGGCAGACTCCGCCTCACCCGACGTGTGGGGGCAGGCTCCGCCTAGCCCGACATGTGGGGGCTAGCTCCGCCTCGCCCGACGTCTGAGGGCGGGCTCCGCCTCGCTCGACATCTGTGCGCTGCACCTTCATAACTACACACGCAGATGAGGCGGGACGCTCAAGTCAACCGCAATACCGAGGATCATACCCTGCACGCCTACAGGAAAGTACCGTCAGGATATGACCAGACGGGCGCTTTAAGCCCTTCCAGGCATGTTAGAGCCCAAACAGTGTTGTGGGCGCCGACATTTGTCCTATAGTGTTATGGGCGCCGGCATTTGCCCTCGGACATGAATCCTGACGAAAACATACGACAACCACTACGATCCAGGAGGAAACTCATGTCATCTACTGTAATAAACGTGGGGCCTCTACGTTGTCCGCTCCCCGTAGAGTCGCGGCTTGGCATCCTGGTGCATCGTGCCGTCCGCCGGGGCAGGATGGGACGTGACCACTTGTTGAATGAAGCCAGGGCACGGCCCTATCAGGATAAGCGAACGTGCTATCCTTAGCACCGTCTGCCGTGTCTGGAGGACAGGCTCGAAGGAAAAGGAAGACCCGGCACATTTGAAGGACATTCTTTGTCTCTGTTTTTTCTTATTTCTCCCATCTGTAATCCCTGCTTCCCTTGATCTATAAAAGGGAGGGCAGGGCACCCCACTAAAGGGATCAATTCAACACGCCACACATCACATAACACACAGCTGAGCAGCAACCAAGCTCTCAGCATCTTTTCGACCTTTCCATCGGAGACTTGGGACCTATCCCTCTCTCGACCGTTTGTACCCCCTACTATGAACCTTTCAGTGCTAATAACACGAGCAGTAGCAGCAAACTAGACGTAGGGATATTCTGCCCGAACCAGTATAAACCTTGTGTCTTTTAGTACACCATCTGGGACCAACGCGCAATAAATACAAATTTACTCGTTGGTATTTACTAGAAACACCGACACGTTGATAGAAATCATTTGGCTGGTTTTTTGCAAAATGATCTTAACCATCTCTTATGCCAAGTACAGGTGAGTAAAAACACAAAGGAATTAGCAAAATAGGCCTCACTCATAGCAATATTCATAAGAATTTGGTAACCCTCTTTTTTTTTGCTACCTAGGTAGTGAGTGACCTGTAAGGAGATAAAGCATGTCAACAAAAAATCATACCACTTCAATAGCAAGCATTGCAGCAAGTTCTTCGACCTTGTCTGAATGCTCATTCATTGTTGCCTTTGAAAATCTTAACCTATTGGAATTGACGAACTAATAAATATTTAGATGTTGCAGGCATAAGTGATGACAAAAATAACAGAAGTAAGAATTACTACTCTATATTAGCAAAAAGACTATTGCTACTATTATGAATAAACAGGTGAAGAGAATGATAGAAAGTTTGGTGATCCAGGGCATGTTATCTATTACATGACATAAATCAAAATGTGTAGTCATTTATGAAAATAAGCCTAGCGTTTTGGTAAGCAGCACATTGGAAGTCTAAAGTTGGGATATTTTGTTGTGTTCATAAGGAATCAAAGGTGACAATGCAAGAGTTCAAATCCAATCTTCCTTTTTTGAATTGACTGATTAACATACGGATAGTTTGCAATAATGTGTAGAAGGATGGGTCATGTCTGAGACAGTTGACAGGTCACAATAGGTATGAATTAGTGAACTAATATGGTGGTTTTGCTCTGCATAGTTGAACTCTACAAAGATCTACTTTAGGTGGTTATACCTTACTCTACGTCTTCATGAACGCACTGCATAGGTCTCTAAAATTGAATCTTAGATATGGCCTTTGTTAAACAGTCACAGTCACATTTGTATCAAACACATCAAGTCGATGAAGAGAAATGGAAAAGGCAGTTGTAACCTTGACCTAAAACTTTTTTTTGTACCGAAAGAAACACAAAAAATTCGGAACATAACTGTCACACAAACAAATATAGCATTAACACTGATTACATGAAGGTAAGTGCATATCGACAGGCTATAGGGTTTGTTATGGGCAGAATGATGTATATTAATTATTGGTTCAGAAGATAAGTATGTCGAGCTATCTCGCTAAAAAAGGAACAGAATTATGCAGAGTGTCGACATAATATCATCGGCAGTCCTTCGAGGGGTATCCCACGAAGGTAGATTGATCGGTAGAGAGGCGTGTAATCAAGAACAAGAAGGCAACAGAGACACACGAGTTAGACAGGTTCAGGCCGTCAGTATGACGTAATACCCTACTCCTGTGGTCTATTGATTTGTATTGGCTATCGCATGATATTGCGTGTGATCAGATGCCTTAGGCTAGGCCTAGGATCTGTATGGGATATCGACTAGGGGACCCCTGCCTCTCCTTGTATACTCAGGAGGGGTAGGGTTACAAGAAAAATATCCTATTTGGTACTATACAATGTCTTGCGGTGCACGTCGACCAGTGCCGTACATGCCTTGATCTTGTGGGCCGGGCCACCTCTGATGGTGCGGCCCATGTCTTGTCTTGTGGATACTGGGGGCCATACCCCCACAGCTAGTCCCCAAGTCTGACAGTAGGTGACGTGGTCACGTGCTGCTAGGGTCAGAAAGTAGAAGAAAGGC